GTTGTTTTTTATGCTTTAACACTGTTCCAGCCCATGCTCAGGTATCCTTAAAAGTTGCTTCACCCATACAAAATAGGCTTGGAAATTTGACACACAGGGAGATGATAAATGCAGATTAAGGTGCTATATAGATAATTTTTCCTCTCTCTCTGCTGTAAATAACATAATGTTCCTCCAGCCTTGACATCAGGTGGTGTCACCCCAGGTGAAAGAAAACACTTCTGTGCAACATAAAGGGAGACTCTGATCCCTCCTCATTTATTTTGGGATGACACATCCTTGCCATTCCTCTGGATGTGCCCTACCTAGGGTGTCCTGACCACCTGGAAGTCGGGAAGCTCTGCTTTTCCAGGTTATCCTGCTTTTCCAGGTTATCCTCACTATTAGAATAGTGAGGATAATTGCAATTTTGTAATTAGAGTTAATGCAAATCAGCCCAGGAGCTTTCCTCGTGCCAGGGCCTGGCTGATGGGATGTCAGGGATATATTTGGTGCTGATCATGCCAAGCAGTCACTGCTGGGGTCAGGGAAGCCTTTGCTATGAACAAGTCAGAGAAATTTCTCACTGGGAGTAGAATTTAGTGAGATAAAACTTGAATTTTATACTATTGACAAGGTGAAATTCTGGTGATATTCCATGAACAAAACTAATGGGATCCCAGCAAAATATTTTCAAGTTTTCCACGCTGGAAAAAATGTAAGTGAATATTGTTGGCAAATGATTATTGATCTGGACAAGTGTGTTAAAGGTTTCTTGGCAGCCCTGTATTACACTTACAATTTAGTTTAGTGACAGCTTTTAGAAATAACCCCAAAGCAAACTCTGCATAGAAGCAGGTTATTGGTTTTTCTTTCAGGCATATTTTGGTGCTGCAAAATGTGCTTGGAAATGGGCTCCCCAAGTTCTGTGTTGTCAGCAGAATATTCAGCCTGTGATGTCTGTGCTGCTAATTTCTGCCAATTGACTGAATTGTGCTTCCCTTTAGCTTAAAATATTAAACTGTGGAATATTGGGTGGGTGCAGCCTGAGCCTGGCTCAATTCACTGGGAGCCCAGTTTGGTTTGTAAAGTGGGGCTTAATAACTGAGTGTGCAATGAATTGTTTGTTAAATTGGACTTTCAGGGCCTTGTTGAGAGGGTCTGTCCTGAAAAATCCTGAAAACTTGTAACTCCAGGCAGCTCAGCCCACTTGGACTCCAGTGCTTGGTGTTTTAGCCCTGGTTAGCAGTTAAATGGATGAGAGAGGAGGGCAGGGATGAAGGAAACAGGAGATAAACTTGACAGTGAACAGCTGGTTTGAGCTCTGGCTGCTCCAGGTCAGGTTGTTTTCCAAGGGCTGGAGCCCCTCTGCTCTGGAGCCAGGCTGGGAGAG